TGTGTGTGTGTGTGTGTGTGTGTGTGTGCGCGTGTGTGTGTGTGTGGAGAGAGAGAGAGAGAGAATATTCACTATTTACTTTACCTAACTGATCCAAAGGAAGGTTTGGTGAGTTACAGCTGCATGACATTGCATCTGATGTGCTTAAAGGACCAAAAGGTTTCCAAATATTTTCTGTTTCCTTGAAAAAAATATTATATAAATTATATTCTAATGCTTATTTAGTTATATGAATTTTTGTTTTAAATTTCTTTAAAAACCCACAAATTTCCTTTTTTTTTTTTAAAGCTGGTATAGCTTCTAATGAATCCAGTGATTAAAATAAGTATTCCCCAAATAATCACATATATATTTTTCTGAAAAAACTAAAGGAATGTCAAGATATCCCAGAGATTAACATATTCAACTCAGATTAAAAAAGAATCTACCGCTTCTCACACACACACACACACACATACACACAGACACACACACACACACATATATATATATATATTTAATACTTCATATGGTTTAAGTCACAGACAGCAACATTGCTGTGCATTCTTCTCTTGACCCTTGATGGAAAAATAAAAGCAAACTTCCTGGAATTATATCTATTAACATATTTTTTTATTCTACTATTCATACAATCTTTAAATATTTTTGTAAGCAATCCTGTAAGATTTTCATCTTTATTTTTAAATATGTGACTTTTTAATACAAGCAGTTCCCCTGTGATGAAAGTTTGAGAACCAGTACGTAGTTGTGCCTGGAAATCACAAAACCACATGAAGGCATACATATCTGAACACTTTCTAGAGAGCATTTCAACTAATTGAAAAGTCAGATACAATGAAATACTTCAGCTCAGCTACATGTTAGATCAGCAAAATGATAATTAAAAACATTACTTCACACATCCTTCTTAAAGCAAAAATAGGTCCAGATAAGAATAATTTCAATTTAGCTTTAGGAATTGTTTTAGTGATTGTTTTATCTATTTTTCTTTTTTAGATTTCTTTTTAGATTTCTTTTTTCCATTAATTTACCTTCTGTATCCTAGGTGGAAATATGGACTATAAATCCAAGGCAGAAATACATTTCCAGACTAAGAAGAGCACATTTATGGATTTGCTTAACTTATTCTATGGTTTTTATTTCTATACCATTTAGAAAACACCACCCACTAAACCATTTTTCCATTGCCTGTGGACTTATTCTCATCTCAAATTTTGGCTAGGAAAAAAGACAGCTGGATTCTATCCTAGAAAAAAGAAATGGTGGGTTCATGTAGGCCTAAGGGAGTCACATTGTTTCTTTATTCTTCCTGCCAATAACCCATATCCCTCATAAGCACTAGAAGACATATGGAATATGGAATTTCCAAGGAATGTGTAGCTATTACTGGAGATGTAATTCCAATACATCAACTCTACATCTTCTTTTCTATTGACCAGTAAGAACAGTAGGAGACATAGCAAACAAAGAATTTCTTCTTCGTTCCTTTGTCTCTACTCTGCTTGCTCCTGACTTGAAGAATGATATTCTTGGTCTTTCTCCTTCACTCTGCTTTCTACAAGAACACCACAATACTTTTTTTTTATCCTTTGGCATTAGGACAGAGAGCTCAGAAATGTGAGCTTCCTATCAGAGAGGATAATTTCTTTAACTTTGGTATTTTGATCTTAAGGTCTGTCTCCAAGTACCTATTATGGGCTTGGTTATACCTTTACACATATGCCCTGCTAAATATGAACCACAGTGAATGACCTAGAAAATTCCAGTCAGGGTTACCCATAGAGTTTTGCCTATGAAGTCTCATATGACTTTTGACACATGATAATATCAAATGCATTGTTCCACTTACCTCTTTCAAAGAAACAAGAAGTGCAGCCTTCATGGATTCTTCTTGCTTAACCTGCATATCATTTAGCCTCTTGGTAAAATTACTGAAGCAAGGTTTTAAGTTCATCTTTGAATACTGTCTTCCTTTTATGTGATTAAAGATCATATCAAGGGAACGAGGAAGAATGCCACCATCTTTTGGACAACCTAAGGATACAATTAATTTTGTTTCCTTTCGTGCTGTAATTAGAAGAAGTTCTGAATTTTGAACCTCAAATTATACCTTGGACAGTGAAACTTTTGCCTGCATTAGTAACGCCATAAGTAAAAACAAGCCCATTTCTTCCATTAAGGTAAGCTTTTACAATGTCTTTCATTGTGCCTTCAAAAAATTCATTTTGAGTTGTATCTGGTCCAAAAACCTACACAGAGAATACAAGTGATTTTCAGAGACAAACTAAACAGGATGCAGGAGGTCTTTACAAACAATCTTTACAACTTTTTTTTTCTTTTTTCATCGGAATGTGTAGATTATTCCAAAAACACTCCAATTTTTTTCCCCTTTTCATCAAGTTTTCTGTTTTGAAACCACAAGAAAAATCTGCATTTGCTTTGGAACATAATTGAACATAACTATTGTGTGTGTGTGTGTGTGTGTGTGTGTGTGTGT